GCTTCCCAGACCAGGAGAAGCTAAAGGAGTTCATCACCATCAAACCAGTTTTACAAGAAATGTGAAAGAGTTTTCTTTAAGAAGAAAAAGGTAAAAAACAAAACAAAACAAAGGGACAATAAATACATATCTATCAACAAGTGAATCTAAAAATCAAGTGAATAAAAAATCTGATGAACAGAATAAACTGGCTAATAGAACAGAATCAGGGGCATAGAAAGGGAGTGGACTGATAAAAATCATACACCTATGGGCAAGGACAGTGTGGGGAGGGTAAGGCAAAGGGTAAGGGAATGGGGTGAGGTAGGAACCAAGTGGAGGGGAGCTATGGAAGAAAAAAAGAGGAACAACTGTAATAATCTGAACAATAAAGATTTATTTAAAAAAAGATATACTGCTTCAGCAGCTGCCCAGCTGTAGTGGATGCCCAGCCAGAATGAGACCCCATGATGTGGGGATGGGGACTCCCCTCCTCATTTCCTGTGCATAGGAAGGGTCTGCATGTCCTGCTAAAAATGCAGATTATGACTCATATGGATGAAATGGGCCACATGTTAAACTGACAAACTCCGGGAAGGCCTGTATGGCGGTCTTGCAAGCTCAGAGACCTAAAGTAATCACAAAAGATGGTCTGAAATTGAACTTTAACTAAAAGCCGTCATGGTGGGTAGTTACATCCTAGCTTGGTATCTTCACCGACAAGGTCAACCGTTACCTTAACTGAGCATATCTGTCTTTTTGCATCTATGATGACATATCCTTGAAATGTCAGGGTAACTTCTTTTTTTCTGGACCTCCTGGGGCACAACCTAATGTGTGTGGGTCCCAGATAGATACCAAAATTCCTTCATTGTTATTGTTACCATGTTAATTGTTGACTATTAACTATCCTGCACCCATCTAAGTATCATTTTACTTTTTATCCAATCCCAGAGGTTTCCCCACTTTGCTTTCTCCCCCTTCTCTAATCTTTCATCATTGGATTTCATGTAACCCACCTAGGTCCCCTCCTGTGTTTGCAATGTATAAAAATAAATGAAAAACACCCGCTATTCTCTGTAGCACTATCCCAATTCGTTGAGATACTGCTTCCCAGCAATTGTCAACATTTTGGCTTAAATAAACTCACACAAATTCTTTACAGGGTTGAATGTTTTTAAGTGAACATT